GAAAACTCTCTGTGGCAGGCTACGTGCTTGCATTCATAGCAAGGGCACTCCTGTCTGATTCTTGAGTTAAATATTTTCAGACAAAAATCTCAGCTAACATTAAGCTAAGTTTGCTGAAGTATTTATTCTTTTAATTGGACAACAATAAGAAATACTGATGTTTAGCATAGGTAGACAGTAGTATGTCCATTGGAAGTAAATAGGCTTTAATGAGGCCCTTCAGGCAGAGTCTATTGTATGGAACTGCCTAACACTCAAGGGTATGTCATGTACCAGGTGCTGTGAAAGGACTCTGCATTTCTAACCCTATCTTGGATGGTTATTAATGTTACGGGGTGCATCTACTTGAGACAGTTACTGCGGATCTGCCTAATTAGACCTGTAATAAAGTATCCGCATCTACATGTGGGGCCCCATTAGGCTTCAGTTAACTAAATCCTGGTAAATTAGTACTTGTAAATACAAATACTGTCCTGTGGCAGAGTTCTTTACTGCCCAGAAACCCAAATGTAGATGCTGATGGGGCTGGCTGGGGCACAAGAGTGCTTCAGTGTGTGGGCTGCCTGCCCACACACAGTGAAGCACCCTTGTGCCCCAACCAGCCCTTCCACAGCATATTCAGCTGGGTTGGAGCAGCCCCAGACTGGCACGCTGCCCCCCTTGTCCCCTCCCAGCCAGCTGGGGCTGCTCTGACCCAGCTCAATGTGCTGTGGTCCAAGGTAAACAGAGCACCAGAGAACAATAAACTCCAGCACGATGCACACTGGAGTTTATTGTTTCATATTAATTTTACATGTAGATGCACCCACTGTATACAAATGTGCAGCTAATTGTTTAGCCATTTGACCACAGATTGGCTATCTGATGCTTCCCTCACATTCTCCTGCTCTGCAATCAGTACTTATCCCTCCATCCCTCTAACAGCTATGCAGGTTACCATTCTTGCTGCTACACCTTTTTGAAATGCATTGCCCTTTCTCTCCTGCAGTTGGCCATTCAGCTAACTACTGTATGCATGTCTGCATGTGTGTATTTGTCTGTAGTGGGAGCCATATGCCCACCTACACTTTGTTCTTTGGTAGATCAGTGTTTCTTTCTAGGATCAGTCATTACAATTGCCTAAGCACAGGAAAAGGAATTCTGCTTTGGCCTTTACATGAGCTGAGTTAATGGTTCTCAGAGATTTCTTAGAGAGAATTTTGCCCTTAAGCAACAAAAAGTTTGGAAATGGTTTGCACACTCCATCCACTCCCTTGGTTTGATACAGTTACTAGATAATGTGCTGACAGAGATCCCATGCTCGCTAGTAGAATAGGAGCATATACAGAAAAAATGAGACCCTCACAGAAGTAAGCTCTGCACCTGAGAATGTTTACAGGACTGGACCTTACTTTAGTAAGCAACATAATTAAAAAAAACAGTTGTTCCAGAGATAGGGAAGGGGACTTCAGTCCTCTCACTCTTTTATTGTCAAGATTTGATATGCCTGCTCTGGGCTCCTCTATTTAGTCTCCTGAAATATAAGGTACATAAAAGAGAAGACAGAAGGATTATGTTGCTCCCTAACACTCCAAGAGGTGCAGTGGCCTTACCCCTTGTGCAACAAGGAGCTCAAAGAGGAATTCTCCATGACACAGGGCTCCTCCTGATTGTGGCTATGCCCTCTCTAGTACAGGCCAATGCCTGTAGCACACAGTTGAGCCCTCTGAACAGATAGATCCTTGGCTTCTATTTGTGCTTGGGATATTCCAGAGAAAGCTGTCATAGGCCATTCAGTGTCATGGTAGGACAGGACCAAGATATGATAAATGCTGGCAAACCTGACTGGGGACACAATATGCCAGTGCAAATTAGCATTTGTGTCTGCTCTTGCTGCCCTGAGAGGCTAGTCCTACCCTAGTACTGCCCAAGATTGGAAGGTCAAAATGTTGTAGAAAGTTACCTTTGCCCCAAAACACCAAATGTGTCCATTTCTGCTCTGTTACACTTGGGTATCTGAGCCCACTGATGTAAAATTTTCTCTAATGTCCCTTAGGCTTGGGTGATTGAATACTCTATTGAAAAAATCGATGGAGACAGATTTAAAATTCAATACATGTGGTTAGAATGTACTAGCTTTGGGTGAGATTCATTCAGCACAAGAACAAGGCACTTCATTTGCCCTGGTTAAAGCCTTAAGATGGTGAATTTCATGTTTTTAGAGTGAACCCACATTTCCCACTGAAGTAGGTAAAACCTTTGCATGAAAAAGGATTGGAGGGATTTGAACCAGTGTGTTCATTTTTCATTACTGAAATAGAAGGAGAATGAGTAAATAAACCAAGAGTAAATATGATGCTTTATGGACACTGAAGTATTCTGGGTGACCTCAGGAGTGGTATCCCATGTAGAAATTTGGTTCTCTATTTATTAATTTGAGTATAGAGGAAAAAGGGGCAAACAAATTATACAATGGCAGGTAATTGTTTCAGTTGTATCTGCTGCACGGGGAAGCAGCTAAAGAAAGTGCTCAAGTGGTGCATTCAATATTATGTCAATTTCCTTTCATGTTTTTAACAGTGTGAAATGCTTAGTTAAACGTGCAAGTAGTGGAGATATAGGGATAAAAGGGATTCTTGGCTAAATCCTCCCTGTGCATGTCGACAGTCTGGTTGGACTTCACTTATATACAGGGCAGATGAAATCCTTAGCAAACAGTTCTGCCTTCCCCTCCACTGAGTGATAGGGAAGGAGTTCAGATACTACAGTGATGAGTTTCCTCATAGATTTCTAAAGAGCCATAAAGTACAATCACGTAATCAGTATTCTGATTTAAGTGACCAAAATTCAATGCATGTAGGCTAGATTGTACCTAGCCCTTCCATGGTTGTGCAGGGAGTGTGAAGGAGTAAAGGCTACCCAGATTTCAGTTTAATATGGTGCCTGTATAGCCTACGCAGCAAGTCCAGGAGCAGTGGTGATAAATTAAACTTATTGATTTGCATGCACTCTAACTCACAAATTAGGCAATATAGGTAGCACTAGGGTAAACCTGAGTACTCACTGAGATAGAAAGGATGGGTCCTGAGATGTATGTTTTAGGACAAGGGCTGGCAACATTTGGCCAAAAATATTTGCCAAAAACACCCCAACATTTACCCATGCCTCAGCGTGGCATACCGGGGGCAGATGGCAGGGCAGCTGTAAGGGGCCTGATCCTTGTTGCTGGCGGTGGATGCATGTGTGCCTATGGATGGGTGGCAGGGGAGGAACCAGGGTTACACTGCACCAGCCCCTTCCCTGGCATTCACTCCGAGGCATGCGTGACAGGGCTGGTGCCAGGGCTCTGGACCGCAGTGCAGCTGTTTGAAGTTTCCTACTTGTTTGCAGCAGGTCTTGCAGCCTCCTAGCTGCCTGCTGTGCACAGCCTGGGCTCCATGGCTGGCAGCAATTGCACAGAGCCTGGCCTGGCTGTGGTGTGCTAAGCAAAATGGCCTTGCATACCAGGCTCTGGCATGTAGGCTGGGGGTTGTTGATTCCTGTTCTAGGGCATTGTTAACTGTTAAAGCTTGATCTTAAGACATCTAATGCCAGATTTGCAGGCTTGGGTAACTGCAGAGCAGGAGCAAGTAGATACAGCTTTTTTCTTAGTGGCACTCTTGGGCTCATTCAGAGGCCATATAGACAAATCCCGCTGCCTGGAGAAGTGTATAGAGTGCATTGGGCAGGCAGAACCTGATCTCTGCCCTTTGTACGTACTGATTAGCAGAGCTATTTGGAAGGATGGCAGGAAGCCGAGTGTGCTAAACTCTGTAAGGTGATATCACAAATTGCTCCTCCCAGTGCATACAAGGAGTCTTGTCAGGCACAGTGCCCCAATGACATTATTCTGAAAAGGGTATGATTAATAGGAGCTCATTTGGAAGTTGCCTTTAACTATTGATAGCAGCTGTATGCCTACAGTCGAAACTGCAGAACAGGCACGTAGTAATCAAGGGGGAAAACTCCAAGACATGCATAGTTAGGATTCAGGTTACATAAATATCCAAAATTCTAGTCACTTATTTAGAACCTATCCAATTTATCTTGGTTCAAGAAGCTTTGAAACTGCATTGAGTATTTAATGCAAATAGCTTCACATATGAGATTTATGGTATTGTTTGTCCTAAACAGCATCTGGAAATGTCCAAGGCATATGAAGAGAATGCAAATCTGTACTGATCACCTAATGTTCTAGAATGTCAATAAGGGGTTTGATTGCATTTTGCTTTACAAATAGTTGAAAGATTGGTTGAAGTGGCTTGCTCTCTCATAATGTTGAGTGGGAAGTGTGTGTGTGTGTGTGTGTGTGTGTGTGTGTGTGTGTGTGTGTGTGTGTGTGTGTGTGTGTGTGTGTGTGTGTGTGTTGGGGAGAGGGGGAATGAAAAAGAATCAATCCTCATTCTTCACCACAGCCTTTCATGTGGAGAAGAAAATTATCCTGCTTGGGGTCCTTTTTTCTTTTCAGATCCACTAAATACATTTTATTAGAGTAAAGGCAGGTGTTACAGAGTTAGAAATTTACTCCTTTCCTAATGAAAACTTGACTTCCAAACTGGGGAAGGGAAGGTATTGAGGGCTTTGTCATTCCCAATGGCCCTCTGTGACAAGAATTGTCTAGTGATTTTACAGCACAGTTTTTAATGTTTGATCTAACTCTGATTGTAATAAATATTGATAACATCCCACCAGATGTGTACTTTCAGCTCCCAATTATTTCACCCACACCGGTACTAGACACAAGTTACTCACATTTGAGTGATACCAGTGAAAATCAGTATAAGTAAGATCAGTGTAAGGCCTGTTTCTGTTATAGTATAATTGTGTATTTCACATGTTTTATAATGAACGAAACTGTTAACTCTTTATTGTTCAGGAGGGACTTGCAGTAAGTTGCACGAATGTAACAGCAAATTAATATTATAGAGGGCATCGTCTGTAAGATAATAAAAATAACTTTGTTATTTATTTTCTGTGTTTAGACAAGATAATAATATCCTTCTCAGTTTCCATGGCAATTGGACTCGTGATTGGAGGGATAATCTGGGCGTTGTTTACTTGCTTGTCCCGTCGCAGAGCCAGTGCCCACATTTCACAGTGGAGCCCCTCAACTTCTACCCGCCGTTCCAGACCTCCTTCTCATGGTCCAGCTGCCAACAGGCCTGGATTCTACCGCAACAGCAGCTGTGAACGTCGCAGCAACCTCAGCCTGGCCAGTCTCACCTTCCAACGGCAAGCCTCCCAGGAGCAAGCCAACTCCTTCCCAAGAAAATCAAGCTTTCGAGCCTCCACTTTCCATCCCTTTTTGCAGTGTCCTCCACTCCCTGTGGAAACTAACAGTCAGCTGATTACTCTGACTCCCACTAGCACCACCACTACAGTTGCAGGAAGCACCACCAACAGCTTAAGTCAACCTGAATTCCACTGGTCTAGCAACAGTCTCCGCATCTGCCATTCAACACAAACCCCTCCTCCTGCCTATGAGACCATCATAAAAGCTTTCCCAGACTCTTGAATTGGACTTTTGTTTTAAATACTTAGATATGGGTATGCATACATATCTTAGAAAGAACCTCCACCACCCAAGACAGATTTTCTGTGTGCTTAGAGGACATCGGTGAACCCTTCCTGTTGCTGTAGTATGCTGCAAAAAGGACATACATTGGTGAGATGCAGGTGACACTGATTCATTAAACAAGATGCAGTATTCTGTTGCCTCAACAAACCTTCTTCTCCAAGTTACTGCTCTGCAGTGTAGATGTGTATTTATATTATCCTTTGAATTAGTAACAGCTGTAGGGCTTCTAATGTAGAGGGAAAATCTTCTATACTTTAAGAAACTGGTGACTAATAGAAGAAATGAGCCAGGTTAAGAGTACTTTGTTGCTACCCATTCATTAATTTCCTTCAAAGTTCACTCTTTGTCTTTGTGTTTGGGTTGTTTTGGGAGTCCTGTTTTTAAACATTTTGTCTGTGAGTTTTAGATTCTCAGGCCCGGTACAGAGTGATCAGAGTGATCCACCAGTATAAGTGATCAGAAACTAATCTATACCCATAACTGAACAGAAGTTTGACACACACAGACTGGTTTAAACATAGTGGAACCCTGTCTAAGATTTGCTTCCCTCCCCCCAGCTCCCCACCAAAGGCTGAACATGTATTCTGCTTGCAACCGATCTAAACTACACCACTTATAGAAAACCATGTAATTTAGATTGATTCTGCCTTGGGGCTTTTGAATGTCTGTACAGAGCCTCAGTAGTTACTTTGTTTTATCCCTTACACAAAGGACTTTATTCTTTACATCCCTTTGACCTCCTGTACTCAAACATTCCCAGGAACCTCTGAGCAGAGCCATGGTTTAAAGTCATTTTAGAGTTCCAGTTTTGTAATGGGTAATGCAGGTCCCATTTTAATGTTTGTATTGGCTCCGAATTACACCAAACAATTCTTGCTTACACAGAATTCTCCAAAAGAGGAATCATAAACATTTTCCAACAGGGAATTGGAATGCACCAGCTTGGCCCTGAGGTGGATGGACCTGAGGATCCACTGGTTTTCCATGCCACCTAGTTGTATTGCAGTGCAAAAAAAAGAGCTGCCTACCAGTGAAGGGAGTGCATCATGGTACCCCGCCATGATGCACTGTGGGCAGAGTGCTCTACCTCCAAAAACTGCTGAAATCATGACTCCATGTGCCAAATCCAAAGGTTCCACAGGCTGGATGTGTCCTATGGAGCATAGGTTGCGACCCTTGATATGAATTGTGGCCAAAAAAGGTAAAGCATTAAAAAAATTGTGAAAAAGAGGTATCTCTAACCAAGTAAAAAATTAATGACAAATTAATTAATGAAAAATAAACACTATATAGACACTATATTCTGTAATCAGCAGAATGAGTAGTTACATTTTATTACCGTATAAGGCAACGAAGAGCAGAACCCTTGACATTTCTCTCTCAGACTTGGTCAGCAAGATAAACAGCATGAATGGCAACTATTTTTAATTAAGCTTCCTGATTTGCTATGGGAATACTCATTTCCGCTCTTTAAATTGTATTTCTCATGCTGCGCAAATGTTTCATCCTTCCTGGAATACTACTCAGTGAAACACTGTATTTTGCTAAAGGGAAATGGCTTAGACAACAAGGGTAAAATTCTGATTCTATTAATGTCAATGGTAAAACTCTCAAGACTCAGATTTCAACATTTCTGTGTTTACTTATACAACTGCTTTAGTATGTAAAGATATGAATAGGGTATTTAGAATAGATTAATGCAGACTTTGACTTTCAGGAAGGTAGAGCAATTACAACAGGTTTCCCATGGGCATAGAAGTGGCAGATTCCACTGACATGGGAGAACATCAGGTTTTGGAGCAAGGGAGAAAGACAAACTCATTCAATTTGTTCTAGGTCCTAATAACTGCAATGAGGGCTGTATTAGTCCCATAATGAACAGTTTTATGTTTGAATGCCGGGAAGGGAGTTTCAACATAAAGGATGCCAACTGGAAGAACAACACTGCTCATTCCTGGAATATTAATAACTTTAGCTCCTGTGAAGAATTGGGAAAAGAGTTATTAGTTACAGTGGGCTTGAGTTATTAGTTACAGGTCCTTAATGAGAACCAGCAACTGCAGCTGTAGTCAATGGGAACAACAGGCACTCAGCAATTCTCAGGAGCAGGCAAGTTGCTTATCATTCAAGATTCCTACGCTTTCAGTGGGTGTTGCGAGCACATCACCTTGAAGTGCTTTACATCTTTCATGAGCGGGCCCTGAGTCACCAGTATTGATCTTTGCACTTTAGTTTCCAAGCCTGCTGTTTTCTCTTTGCAAATATCACTACTAGTTCTAAACAACCTTCCCAACTTTTTTAAAGGAAAAATATTTTGCATTCAGTATACTGTCTGCCTTTTTTAATGTGCACCTTTTTTCCTTTATAAAATTAAATTTGATTGTGAGAAATACATATCATTCATAAAGTTTGTATCCAGTGTTTTGCTGCAGAAAGTATGGATTCTAATAAACTAAGGGCCACTAATGGTTCTGACTTCAGTCAGAAGAAGGCTTCTGCTATTGTATTATACATTTCATTTTTTAAAATGTTTCTGGGTAGGCTTCACTGCACCCCAAATACATCTGCACAGTGTCTAATGTCCCTCTGAAAGGTAATACCACCTGTTGTAATGTCTATGATACAATAAAGTCTATTTCTGTTCTGCTGGTAATTCATTTCAGCGGACTATTCATATGAGAAGTGAGAGGAGGATATGGTCCACAGTATGTAACCAAGTTATTTCAAAGTGATTGCTCCTTGCCATTGAAATAATTACAAAAAAAAAGTAAATATTTACTTGTGGTAGACAAATACAAGATTTGCAGTATAACCATATATTATTTCTTGTATTAAACTATAGTTAGAAAGTAATATAGGAGGAAAGGCTATAATGTTCTGTATTTTTTCCTTTAGAAATCCATACTGGCCACAAAAACTGTTTTATTTCCCCTGGATCACAGAAACTAGAACATGAATTCTTTGGTGCATAACCAATATGGATGTCAACTGCTTAACTAACAGCATGAGCAAAAACTGAGATTAATATTTTGTAAGCATTGTGGAAACTTTGGAATGTGAAATAAAGGTAGAAACTGTAATCTGTATCTTATGTTTTTTCTTGATTTTACTTTGAACAAACTGACTCTCACAGTGTATACTTTATGTAAATTATCTTCTGTAGCAAGCAGATGTACAGCGCCAGAAAAGTTATATAAAGTACAGGATTTATTATACAGTAAGATGACCCAATGGTTGGAAACCAAGACTGAAAAAACAGCAAGGGCATGTTTATATTGTATCTGCAGTTTTCCTGGGTAAAGCATGGACCTCTTATCCAGTCCTGCTCTGTGCCATACCCAGAACTGAGGCAGTGAGCTGTCTTGGCAGATAGCCCTGCTGCTGTTCTCAAGGTCTCTCTCTAGAGCAGTGGTTCTCAACCATTTCTAGATTCAAGGCACTCCTCATTAGAGGACTCAGAAAATGCTAGGTTTCACTTTTTCTGAAACCTGCTGAAAAGTTTTTTGACTACAGAAAGGCAGTTCTCTTGGTGCAAAGAACTCAGAAAGACCACAACAGATGAGAAAGTTTTTGACACTATGGCTTCCTGTTTGGAATCTCTGGGCGCATCCAGATGAGCATGGATATTTGGTTCCCTGGAGACAAGTAGCAGCAGCACACCTTGCCTTACATGAGGTGCTGGCTGGGAGCCTCCAGGGGTTGCAGCAGCAGTGACTCTGCTGTGCAGAGCCTGACCAGCAGCCGGAGTATGACTCCGGGTGTCCTGGCTCTGCTTTTGCGCAGCACATGCTTCCTGTGCATGCACTGTGCTGTTGTTGGTTTTTTTGCTAAATTTTTTGACCCCTGAATTCAGGGAAAAAACACGATGCAGTGCATGTACAGGCAGCATGCCTTTGCAGCAGTGTGGAGAACATCTAAATGCGTGGTATGTAGCGCCACAGACATGTTTGCAGTATCACATACCACATGGGCATGCTCGGGCCTTTGGGTTTATCTTGTGAGTCATATGAATCACGTGTAGGTGTTTGCACACCTAACAGTTACTCATACCCTGAAGCACCCTTAAAAGAATCTCATAGGACCCCAGTGTGATGTGGCACCCTATTGAGAATCACAGCTTAGTGTGCTTGATAATGGTGGTTGGAGGAGTTGTGAGAGTGGCTTTACTGCCTCTTTTCCAGGCATGGCACATACAAAGCAAAGGAAGATGGTTTTAAACAAAACTTTCCTTTCCTTTAACATGCAGAATTATTAGGTAAGCTGGTTGGGGGTTTTAAACAGATTGCTTTTTCCTCACTGGAAAAATCTAATTTGCCAAACCGAAAATTTTGTGGAGACATATTGGTCAGGGCACTCATGGGGTGTGAGGGATCTAGATTATAGTTTTGTTATGTGTCAGGGGGAGCAAAGTGATTCCTCTGACCACCCCCAAGCCTTGTCCCCTCAGAACGGGAATGAGAAGGACTCTCATTCATTTTTTCCTTTAAAAGTATGGAAAGGTTGTTTATTCTCTGGCAGAACAAAAACTTCTATGTTTTATGGAAAACAGAATTCTTTTTTTCAGCCAACCCTATTTATTAAAATGCTTTCCCCTTCTGTCATGCTGTTGGAAGGTGCTCCCCTTCCCTCCCCCTAAAAGTTTTTCTTTTTCTGCAGCAGCATTATGAACAGAAATATTTCAGGTGCACACAACGAATTAAGTTCTTCTTAAGAAGTTTAGCTGGGGGATGATCATTACTAATATAATTTTAGAGCTGGGGAAAGTAAAGCACAGAGAGATTAAAGGACTTGCAGAATCACACAGGAAGTTATCGGCAGAGTCATGACTGGAACCCAGATCTTCTCACACCCAGACTTGCACAATAATTAATAAACTTGTTTAATATGATAAAACATGTTTTTTGTATTATCCACATTTTAGATCATGTGCTAACCATGCTTTGGTTTCATACAGAAAGCAGATTAACTACGTCTCAAGATATTTAATATTCCTTGACCTTTCATTTCTGAAGAATTTCTGATCACTTATTCAGACAGCTACTGATGATAATACTACATTTCTGACCATACTGTCTTTGCCAAATTAAATTTTTAAAGTTCACTTGCAATTTACCATGAAGTTTTTGAGTCATCTTGACATGTATTGTTAAGTGTAAACTGAAAACTACATTTACTGGAAAGGTCTGCTCAGAAATGAAATGACACATGCCAGATCCCTGACCTATAGGCACTTTATAAAATTAGAAGATGTCGATGATGCAATGCAGCTTCTGAAGGAAAAAGAAAAGAAAAAAAACACTAATAGGAAATGTACCTCTAACATACTCAAAGCAGATTAGAAAATAGTGTTGACATACTTTACAAAGAGGAAGATTGTAAAAGTATAAATCAGGTATGACATATAAATTTAGGTACCCAAATCTGGGCATCTAAATCTGTATTTGGCCTAAAATTACTAAAATTAACCTGATTTCCAAGGTGTCTGAGCACTGGTATTTTTCTACAGCAGAAAACAATGTACCTTATAAAACCCTCCACCACAAAAAAAGGAAACAAAACTAAACCCCAGTTGCTACTTTGTTTCATGTGGGTGTAATAATTACAACTTTAATTTATGCAGCACTTTTCACTCAGCAATGGATGGCATGAAGTCCTTTACAAGCTGTGCACATTGCTGAAGGAAGAGGAGGAACCTACCAGCAGCTTCTCTGGAGCCACCTAGAATAACAGAATGGAGTCTTCTTCAGCCCAAGTACACACTGTGTCTGCATCTATTCTCTCGCTTTACTACTACAATAGTACCCGAGGCTACACTCATGGTCTGGGGCACCATAGTTCTACACACTGAAAGTACCTATAGTGAAAAGTCCCCCAAACCTACAGACCAGGTCAGCAGCTTGATTGAAAAGTCACACTGTTCTATGGGCAATTAACTAGTTTAACTAAAACATAAAATTAATAATTAGTGACAAATTGCTTACAACAGAACAATGGTTTCCTGAGTGTACTGATCCTTGGAACTTGCAAATAAATTTTCATTTCCCTTTACATGTCTGACAACATTGCTACATGATGGTAGGAGGCACATGGCAACCATGGATCCTTGAGGTACCACTTTAAGTCTGTTTTACGTTTGCATGCTTCCTGTGCAGACATTATGAAATGGCTGCAGGCCCTTATTTTTGTCTATTCAGCAGCCAGGTCAGAGTGATTTATAGAATCATAGAATCATAGAAAATTAGGACCTCAGGAGGTTGTCTAGTCCAAGCACCTGCTCAAAGCAGGACCATCCATAACTAGATTATCTCAGCCAAGTCTTTGTCTAGCTGGGTGTTAAGAACCTCCAAAGATGGAGATTCCACAACCTAGCTGGGTAACCTGCTCCAGTGTTTTATTACCCTCCTAGTGAGAAAGCTTTTCCTAATATCCAACCTAAACTTCCCTTGCTGCAACTTGAGACCATTGCTCCTTGTTCTGTCATCTGTCACCACTGAGAACAGTGTAGTTCCATCCTCTTTGGAACCTCCTTTCAAGTAGTTGAAGGCTGCTATTAAATCCCCTCTCAATCTTCTCATCTCCAAACTAAATAAACCCAGTTCCCTCTGCCTCTACTTGTAAGTCATGTGCCTCAGACCCCAAACCATTTTCATTGCCTTCTTCTGGACTCTCTCCAATTTGTCCACATCCTTTCTGTAGTGGGGGGCCCAAAACTGAACACAGTACTCCAGATGTGGCCTCACCAGCACTGAATAGAGGGGAATAATCACTTCCCCCTATCTGCTGGCAGCACACCTACCAATGTAGCCCAGTATGCTGATAGCCTTCTTTGCAACAAAGGCACACTGTTGGCTCATATTCAGCTTATTGTGCACTGTAACTCCCAGGTCCTTTTCTGCAGGGCTGCTGCTTAGCCAGTCAACCCCCAGCCTGTACCGATGTGTGGGACTGTTCTGTCCTAAGTGCAGGATTTTGCACTTGTTATTAAACCTCATGGGCATGTCCATACGAGTGCGCACATGTCTCTTTCCCCATCTCAAACCCCTTTGAGATGGGACAAGAGGCATGTGCAGGAATGAAGAAATGTTCCCCGCACTGTAAACTTGTCTGTGGTTGTCTCCAGCCCCTTGCTCCTTCCCCTGCTTGTTTCCAGTCTTGGGAGAGCAGGGGACAGCAGGGGAATGCCTCCAGGGCTGTCTCCAGCCCCCTGTTCTTTCCCCTGCTTGTCTCTATCCTTGGGAGAGCAGGGAAAGGAGCAGGGGGCTAGAGACAGCAGGGGAATGTCTCTGGGGCTGTCTTCAGCTTTCTGCTCCTTCCCCTCCTTGTCTCCAGCCTCAAGAGAGCAGGGGACAGCAGGGGAATGCCTCCGGGACTGTTGCCAGAGTCCTGCTCTTTCGCCTGTCTTCAGCCCCTTGCTCCTTCCCCTGCTGTCCCACATCCCCCCATCTCACACCCACCATGTGATAAGGAAACCCAAAGCAATCATTAAAACATGTAGATATTTAGTATTTATTTTATTATGATGCTAGATACATATTTCAAATTTCTTTAACATTGTAAATATTGTCATATTGTAAATATAACAATAAAACATTGCCCATCTGATCAATCCCCCTTTTTCTCTCTCTTTTGTTCTAATTGTGCAAGAATGTGGTTTTTGAGGTATTTTAAAAAGTTAATTTGGGATGCTGCTTCAGCAGTCTAGCTGATACAAGGGGCTCGTGTCCCCAGATACCAATTGCCTGGGCCCCAGAAGCTCCTGAGGTCAAGTAACCATGAGGTGCTGGCCAGGGCACATTTTTGTACTGCTGGGGCCAGGACAGGGCAACTTTTTATACTGCTGGGGACAGCACAGTGCTGGCCCTGGGCTCTAGCTCCCCCTGGCTGAAGATCCAGGAGGAGCCAGGCAGGGTTATTTTGCCCCAAGTGGCACAATTTGCTCCACAATAAATGCATGTCTGAGCACGTGCGCTGAGGCAAAAAGCCCCTGCTCAAATTTGCACTGCTTCTATTTGAACTGCTGCACGTGCACATGCTTGCATGTGTGGACATGCCCCATGAGATTTCTTTTGGTCCAATCCTCCAAT